CGCCCGCCCCGCCCGACGGCGCGGCCGCTGCTCGCTGCCCGCTGCTCGGGACCCCCGCAAAGCTTCTACCGGCCCCGGCCGGGGCAGCCGCGCTTTGCCTGGCGGCGTCTGGGACCGGGACCGGGACCGGGACGGGACCAAGAGCAAACCGCGGCGGGGATGGGCTCCTCCGGCAGCCCCGACGTGCCCTGTCGGTCCCGGCAGCACGGGCAGAGCGGGGGGCGCTGGAGGGGCGGCTGCCCCGCCTCCGTCTGCCGCGGGGAGGGAACCCCGCGGGAGGAAACCGATGGCGGGACCCCGGGCAGAGCGGGCAGCGGCGGCCTCTACCGCGGGCACGGGGGCGGGCAGCAGACGGAGTGGGAGGGCGGGCGGGGACCCCCCAAGTAAGGACCGCGGACAGCGACGGTGCCGGTCGATCAGCACTGAGGACAGCGGCAAGGTCGTCCTGCCCACCTCCCTCCCTGTCTGCCCCCCGCCCCGACTGCCCGGCCCTCCCGCCCTGCCCAGCCGGCGGCTCATAAAGCTGGTACCGAGCGGCGGAGCAGCACATCCCCACCGGGCGCCGCGCTCCACCTGCCTCCACCGAGCCGTGCAAGGTGGGAGCTGCGGCACTCCCGCCCCCGCAACCCGGGCCGCCCCGTCTTTCGGCAGAGGCTCCGGCCCCTCATGGAGACGAGCCTCAGCGCCTGCATCAACGAGAGGACGCTCAGGTCGCTCATCCTGCCGCCAGTAGGCGAGGCCGTGAGTGCCGCTGCTCCCGACATCCCCGGGACCCCAGGGCCCGGACCCTGGACTTCTCCGGCCCCTGCCTGCTCTTCACTGAGAGCTGACCGTGCCTGCTCGGGGCTGTCGTCACCACAAGCCCCAAAAGCCCTGGGCGCCCCGCGCGGCTCTGTCCTAGACGGAGAGAGGGGCCGAGAAGGGGAGCGGCGGGGACAACCCGGGGCGGCGGAGGGACCCCCGATCGCGGGGCTGGCACGGCCCCGCAGCCGCTCCGGCCCCGCCCCTCCCCGCGCGGGGGGCGTGTCCCGGCGCTGCCCGCCAATGCCGAGCGGCGGCAGGCGAGGCGGGGCGGGGCCGGGCGCGGCGGGGCGGGGCCGGGCGCGGCGGTGCCGCAGCGCCGCTGCGGGGGGGGCGCCGGTGCCGCCATGTCGG